CTATTTTAGTAAAAAAAATACTTGGCTTTATGAATTTTTTGTTTGATTTTGAAATCCATTTTTTTCTGTGTGAGAAGACTTATTTGTACAAATATTTGATCAATTAGAAAAGTATTAACATAAAAGAGCTGGTGGAGGGTATTTAAGATTCGGCTCAGCCGAATATAGCACTCTAACTTGTTTGTTCTATCTTTATTTACTTAAATTTATTTTGTTGTTTGAGGCGTTATAGTTGTTGGTGGCATAATTGAATCTTATGTTGCTGCTAAGTGCGGCTTTAAAGTCAGTTATTTAGTAGATAAAATATGTGTGTATACACAGAAAAAAATGAAATTCAAAATCAAACAAAAAATTCATAAAGCCAAGTATTTTTTTAACTAAAATAGGACCTATCACGAAATTCGTAAAATCAAGTACTCAAATTCGTAAATTCTTTATTGAAAAAATTTCAGGATTTTTCTTATTAAAATAATATACTATTTACGAAAAACATTAATAAATAATCGCAACATTTCCAAACAATTATTTTACTAAAACAATAACACAAGTTATTAGTATTTGTACTGAAATTCAAGCAAATAGGTTATCTGAAACAGTTAAATTATTTATTCTATTTTGGCAATAATAATAAGCAAAATTTTTTATTGAATCTATAAAAATTTTGTTAAAAAAATATATATTGAATTTTAACAAAAATTTTACTAATTCTATAAAATTAAAATTTGTAGAAAAAAGTACTTATATACTTACAACAAATTTATTTCACATTCTAGAAACTATTATTTGTACTGTGAAAACTGAAACACTTATACATTAAATGTTATAAACCAAGTAAGAATTATATCAATTCATTTTAGTACATTCCAAAACTAGTTTTATTGTTGTATTCCATATGCTGACATATAAATAAAACTCAAACAAAAACATTTATTGAACCATTAAAAATATTTACTGAAAATTAAATTTATTTCAATAAAGTGTTTGTTAGAAAATATTTTCCTTCTGCTTGAAAATCAAACAAATTCGCTATAAAACCAAATAAAAATTTTTATAAAAATCTAAATTAAATTTAAGCAAACGATTGTTAAGAAAAAAAATGTGCATATTTTTTTCTGTGTATGTGGCAACATACTCCTACCACACTTGTAAATATACTTTCACTTAAATTCCCATTAACTACAGTGGAGCTCATATGCCACGCCGCACATGTGTAGTGAAAGTGAATTTATTAAAAAACTTTTTTCTTTCATTTCTACGCTCGAAAGGGTGTTAAGCGTGCTATTGTTATTGAAAGTGTATGCAAATAAAAATGTCTTCTTAGTATATAAGAAATTGAGCATTTCTTTAATTAAATTCTTTATAAGAAAATACAAGAAATTGTTTTATTTTTATTTTAGCTAGAAAACATAGAAAAGTTAAAATTAACATATAACATGTTTTCTTGTAATTAAAATTGTTTTCAAATAATCTGGTGGAAATTAAATATCCTTTTTTTTGTGCTGAACTTACCTATATAAAAAACTTCCTAAAGACTTTTTTAAAAGGATAATTTTTTTCATAATCACAGAAAAAACTAAAAATATGTTTCAATTATCAAAATAATTGTATCAAGCAAGTTTTGCACCTATCACCAAAATGATGATATCAATTATCAAATTTGTAAAAAAATTAAAAAAATACTTTTTTTTCCAAATAACGAATTAATCAGAACAATTAATATCAATAATTGAGACAAAATTTAAAATTGATTAATTCATTAATTGTATAAATTAAATATTTAATAAAAATAAAATCTAATTTTTATTAATTTATTAATCAAATGAATTAGTTTGTTTGGTAGAAAATGTATTAAAAACCAATTAAGTTGATGATTAAAACAATCAAATTATTAACTGATTACTCACAATGTTAAAGGAATGCTTGACCTTTAACAATGCGTTGAGCATTTACAAAAAATATCACTTTATTATCAAATTTGAACATATAAAATGTTTTATAAATTGTCAGGAAACTTGAATATTATATGCCTAAAATCGTATTGACTATTTAAGAATTATAAACATTGTTAGCATAAAAAATCAAAATAAAATATTAACAAGTAAGAGTGTTATATTCGGCTGTGCCGAATCTCATATACCCACCATCACACCGTATGCCGTAAAAGGAATGCTCCCATATAAACATCAGGGTGATGTTTGGAATATAGCTTAAGACAATTATGGACTGAGCTCTTTTGAACTAACAAAATATTAATTTTTAATATTTTGTACTGTACTTGTAATTATCAGAGTTTTCTTCATCAAATTTTCTAAAGAGGATCTCATATGTGGTGTATGGTCAATTGTTGACCTATCCTCATAACTTTTTGTAGACTGATTTTGGTTCATATAAAACTTGTTTACATTCGCTGTTCTCGCATTTTTATGCCAGCAATTAGCGTTCATGTAATTTTATAAAGGGGCTTATATGGGGGGGTAGGGTGAATTACCGACACATTCCGCATGAAATTCGGAGCGAATTTTATAACCGTATTTCATAACTCATATTTTTAAGCCAGTAATTATCGTTTAAGAAATTTTCTAAAGGGGACCTTGTATGGGCGGTAGGGTAAATTATGGACCGATCCTCCCTAAATTTAGTGGAGAGATTTTGGCACGCATTAAACTTATGTGCGTCAATTTTCGTCACTACATTAATATTTTTAAGCCAGTAATGAGCAGTATAGTTATTTGCAGAGGGGGCCTTATATGGGGGAAGGGTCATTTATGGGCCGATCCAAAAAAAAAATTGGTACCGAGATTTTGGCTCGTAAGAAACTTACGTGTGTAGCATTTCATCGCTTTACTCTTATTTTTTAAGACAGTAATGAGCGTTAAAGCAATTTCCTGAAGTGGACCCAATAGGGGGAGAAGGGCCAATTATGGACCTATCCATATTAAAGTTATTAAAAAGATTTTGGCCCGCGAGGAACTTAATTGGGTAAAATTTTATTGCTATATTCGTATTTTTTAGCCAGTAATGAGCGTTAAAGTCATTTTCAGAAGGGGACCTTATATGGGGGGTAGGGTCATTTATGGGCCGATCTTAAAAAAAAATCGTAGAGCGATTTCGGTTCGTAAGAAACTTATCTATACAGAATTTCATCGCTATACTCGCATTTTTGGACCAGTAATGAGTGTTAAAGTAATTTTCTAAAGGGGACCTTATATGAGGGGTAGGGTCAATTATGGACCGATCCTCAAAAAATTTGGTAAAAAGATTTTGGTTGACATGAAACTTATTTATGTCGAATTTCATCGCTATACTTGCATTTTGGGGCCAGTAATGAGTGTTAAAGTCATTTTCAGAAGGGGACCTTATATGGGGGGTAGGGTCATTTATGGGCCGATCCTGAAAAAATTTGGTACAAAGATTTTGGCTCATATGGAACTTATTTATGTCGAATTTCATCGCTATACTTGTACTTCTGCAGCAGTTATGCCCGTTGAAGCTGTTTTTTGGAGGTCCACTTGTATGGGGGCTATCCGAAAAAGTGGACCGATATTGCCCATTTTCAATACCAAACAAACCTTAACAATAGAGAATATTTATGCAAAATTTCAACTGTCTAGCTCCTCTCGTGTGGTCCCTATCGTGATTTCAACAGACAGACGGACAGACGGACGGACGGACGGACGGACGGACAGACGGACAGACGGACGGACATGGCTAGATCGTCTTAGAATTTAATAAGGACCCGGAATATATATACTTTTATGGGTCTATGAGCAATATTTCGATGTGTTACAAACGGAATGACAAAATCAATATACCCCCCATCTTTTTTGATGGTGGGTATAAAAAAAAAAAATACACCGTCGAAAGTTTCAATCAAAAATTATAGTAAGTGTCATAGTAAGAAGAAATAATTAAATGCAGAAAAAATTATTAATTTTTGCTCAACGCTCGCAAGGCAACGACTCGATTCAAAATTAGCAAGTTAATCAAAATGTAAGTAATCTACCTCAAAATGAAACGCTTTTTCAAAACAACACCATCAACGAAGTAATGAATTGAAAATTAATTTAGCTAAAACTTCATATGCAATAAAAGAAGATTTTATTAAGTTTGAGGCAAAAATTCAAGATTCAGAAGAACATTTTGAGAAACTAGTATACCAGAATCAGTAGAAGATGATGTTACTAAACAGTTTTGTTGGCAAGGTTCCAAAGATAAATCGAGATAAAAAAATTTCAACTATGTTAGCAGTTAAAGGTACCTATTTATTTAAATTTGATATTTTGGATGTGGATTTTCGACTAAATTTACAAATATTCAGTTGCTTACCGCCAAAAATTTGCCGATCACAGCGAATCACAATTTGAAAAAGTAGTTATAACGTTTTTCCAGCAAGCAAAAAATCGACACGGCAAAAAAAACAAAGAAATCATTTTAATTGTTGCAATATATTCTAAATGTTTCTAAACTTTACTTTACATTTTTACTTATAATTAATATTTGCAAACAATTAAAAGACTTGTTTACATACATATACACATGTATGTATATCATTACATTATTTTAAGTAAATTTATTAAAAATTTTAATATTTAAATTTACATATTTTTTTTAGTAATACTTTGTTGTTAACATAATTTTGTGTTACATAAATATATGAAATAATTTAAATATTAAAAAATCAAGTTAATTTTATTTAGCAGATTAGTAGAGTGGCATTAAAATGCTTGAATATCACTGTTTTTTTTACTTGAATTACCTTATACTTCAAAGGTTTGAATTAAGCTATATTTCAAAGATGGAATTCAAGCATTTTTTCTATTTGAATTATAATTTAATTCAAGCCTTGAATTAAAGTGTAATAATACTAGAATGTTCGACTTGAATTCAAGTTTCCTTTTCATTGGAGAATGCTATTGAATTAAAGTGTAATGCAAGTGTATTTCAACCCTTGAAAATTGAATGTTTGACTGGAATTAAATTGATTTACACTTTAATTCCAGCAAAAATGCTTATTGGGTTCTTTCAGGAATGTGACTACCGTTAGCTATTGGGTATGTGCGGGTGTAATTTCTGGATTTGGACATATATAAGGTAAGTGAAACTGAATTTAAAGTGCTTAAAATTAAAAAGTGCTTTGGCGAAAATAAAAGTGCTGTCAGGAATTTTTGGACAAAAAAAATTTTAAAAACACAGTGAGTGCAGAAAGTGCGCGGACGGACAAAAAAAAACGTGAAAACAAAAAAAAATTTATAAAAGTGAAAAAAGAATTGTTGCCGGTATGCAATAAAAATTTAAAAATTATTTTCCAGAAATTACAGTGGGGTATAAAAGTGAAATGTAAACAAAACTTAAAGTGTAAAATTAAAGAAAAAAAAAAAAACAAATGAATTTAAATGAAATTATGGTGTAAATCGGATTTGTGTCTGTGAAAAAAATACAAATGAAATCTACAGTGTGCGACAAAAGTGGAATAAAAAAAATTAAAGTGAAGAAAAATTGAAAATGAAAATAAAATTAAACTATTGTGCGATTGAATTGTTGACGGTGAATAAAAAAAAAAATAGAGTAAAAACTAACAACGGAATTTACAGTGAAAAATAAAAGTGAATAAAAATGAAAGTGAAACTGAAAACTAAAGTGATGGAAAATTAAGCCGGTGTAAAAAAAAATTAATACAGTGGAGAACAAAAGTGATTGTGACAAAAAAAAATACTTCTATGGTATTAAGCGAAAATTTTAACCGGTGTGTAAAAACTGTGTGGTGTAAAATAAAACTAATTTTGGAAAATACAGTGGCGGATAAAAGTGTGAGTGATTGAAGTAAATAAATAAATAAAACTATTGAACTGTGCTATGGTTGTGGTGTTTGTGAAATAATTAAAAACTTAAATTTATTTACAGTATTGAGCAAATGTCAGATTTTGGTCAAAATGTAAAGAAAACTAATGTGAAAAAAAGTAAATTAATAACGAAAACGGGTGGTCGCAAAAAGTGTGCTGTGAATAAATGCATATAAGAAAACTAAAATTCTCAAATAAAAGTGAAAAATAATGAAAAATTGACTAATAAAAGTTAATTCAGATTTTTTTGTAAATTATAGTTTTAAAGTTTTATATTTTTTTTTTTAATATTTTTTTATAAAATTTTGAATTTTCTTTTTCTTTGAATATTATTTCTTATTTCTAATGCTTTTTATATATTTTCTCTCTTTCCAGATTATTAATTCATTATGGGGAAACTAGATTAGAAGACATGGACTTCAATGAAGACTCAGGTAAGTCTTGTGTTAAAGAGCTAGGTGGGAAATGCAAGGACTAGATTCACCAAAGATTTCAGGATAAATCCTTCGATCTTTGGCGAGAAATACCCCTTGACATTTCCAAACAGTAATATAAAAACAAAATTAATTTACTAGTATAAGTGCTGTTAAGATTTGAAAAAGTCCTAAAGAAGCATTATAAAAGAGAAATGTTCTCCGACAAATTCATTATTTTTTCTTTTGGAATTTTTCTTTTCTCAACTAAAAAGGTATATATATAATATTTTGTTTCATACAGGTTCTGTGGGAATTCAAATGCCTCGTGAAGGACGGACCCTATGATGCTAACTCAAAACATACAGTGGAATTGGCAAGTATTATAAAATAATATCGAAAATTTAAATTTAAATTATTTGAATCTTAACTAAAGTCTTCCGAACTTTTCTTCAGATGGCAACAACTACAATAAGAATCAAATGAGAGCAGATAATGAAGCAGATACTGAAGCAGATAATGGAGCAGATCATGAGCGAAGCAGATAATCCGGGTGAGTGTAAAGTTAAAATCGGTAGAATAAATTAGTAAGTATGTTAAGTATACTGGACAGCTAGTTTAGGTAGTTTTATGTCGGACTCCATATGAACCTTTTCTTCTTATAATAAGTGCATAATTCGGTAGTAATAACAAAATAAAGTTTAGAAAACTGCTCAGGATACAACAACAATTATACCAAACAGAAATTCACTGCGAGAGATAGATTTTCAATTAAGAACCAAACTCAAAGACTTTATTCAATTACAGTTACTTATCGAGTACCAATTAGATAAGGCTGACTACTAGACACGACAGACGAAAGACAAGCAGGAGAACATGTTGGGACTAGAACCACCAAAGATTCTAAAGCTATTGCTTTAAATCTTTGGCGTGAAAAACCCCCAACGATCTTCCCTGCATATCCTCGACCTCGTACAGACTGTTTCCGACTGGTCGTACAATTCGGCATTTTAGAAATTTCCGAGCGAATTTGGCATTGAAATTTTTTGAAATCACTCTTGCTGGAAGTTACGTCGGTAGACTTCCTGACCGGAAATGAACTTAATTGGACGACACCGCGTGTTATACGATTTTCGTTGCGAGCGTAAGCTTTGTGTAAATTTTCGCGAATTCTCTGCCGTATCAAATCCAATCTAGCAGCATTCGGAATGACGTTAGTTTCGGGATCGTTTAAGATTCTAAATTTGCGTGCCAACTGGTATACACTACCATAGCCAATCATATTCATTCGAATAAAGCGAAGTAAGGCGTAACTCCTATAGACGACTGCACGGAAGACCTTAAGGAAAACTCAATTTCAGACAAATGTTTGTCCCATTCTGTGTGGTCTTCCAGCAGATACGACCTAACGGCTGCTAGAATGGACTGATTAACACGCTCGGACGCATTGGCTTGCGACGAGTGGATCGCGGTACGGACGTGTTTAATACCAAAATTTTTCATAACATCGGCAAATTTTTGCTAATAAATTGCTTCCCGTTGTCAGAGACAATGGTCTCCGGCGTTCCAAATTTATGGAAAATTTCGGAAATTAAAAATTTCACAACGTTTTTAGTGTCGGCCTTCGGTAAAGCTTTTAAAAACACAAATTTGGTTAGGTGATCTAAGACGATAAAAATACAAATTTGTTATTTTTAGATCGCGGGTACGGACCGAGAAAATCGACAAAGATTCTTTGGAAAGGGCGTTCAGTTTGGACTTCGGCTCCCATCGGTGGTCTGAGCGTAGTGTTCGCGGGCATAGCTTCCTTGCAGGTTTGGCACATTCTTACGTAGTTTCTGATTTGGACATTTTGATTCGGCCAATAAAAATATTCTTTTACTCTATAAAGAGTCTTACCGACGACTCCATTAGACGCTTGAGGGGAATCATGACATGCTTTTATGATGTCCTCTGTCAGATCTAGCGGTACCCATAATTTCCACGCGAAATCTTCGTTCGTTGATATACCGTCGTAAGGTTTAGTGCGTTTATAGACGAATTGTTCGGCATTTTTCTCGACTGTGTCTATAAGGTTACGATAATCTTCTGACCGGAAAAAACTGAAGTTAGATCGATCAACTTAGGTATGTTTAACGAGATTTCGTCCATATCATAGCTTGATAGGGTATCGGGTACAACGTTTTGCTTCCCCTGCCCATGCTCAATCGTAAAATCATACGCCTGTAGATGTAGACTCCACCTCGCCAAACGACCAGTCAAATCTTTATAGCTCATCAGCTACTTTAGGCTACTATGATCCGTAATGACGGTAAATGGCATTAACTCTATATAGGGTCTAAACTTCTTAATCGCCAGAACTACAGCTAAACATTCACGTTCAGTTACAGAATAGTTTTTCTGCGCTGATCTTAGTTTATGCGAAAAATAGGCAATTGGGTGCTCTCCGTCGGAATCATCCTTCTGGAAAAGCACTGCCCCAATGACTACATCAGACGCATCGCACTGAACGTAGAAATGTTTGCTGAAATCCGGGTGATTAAGCAGTGGACTCGAAATCAGAGCTTCCTTTAGACGATCAAAAGCAGCTTTAGCTTCCTCCGTAAACTTGAATTGCTTGCCCTTTTTCAGCGTTTCAAAGATTGGGGCCGCAATGGTTGTATTGTCTGGTATGAATTTTCGATACCAGCCTGTTGCTCCCATGAAGCTCCGCACCTGTTTTGCTGACTTAGGATAAGCAAAACGAGTTATAGTCTCCACCTACTATGTAACCCAGATACCTTAGCTCTTTGAAACAGAATTTAGATTTAGCCACATTGATGGTCAGACCTGCATTTGCTAAACAGATAGATACTCGTTTCAGCAATTCCAGATGTATCTCGAAATCTGGAGATACAATCAAAACCCAAAAGGCATAACCGTAAAATGATAAAGTGGTCGTCCTGGCACCGTAAATGCGGTTCTCTCTTTACTAGACGATTCTAGTGGTATCTGCCGGAACGCGTCTTTAAGGTCGACACTAGAGATATATATCGTGTCTCCCAAACGACTGAGCAAACCTTCAATGTGCGGCAATGGATAGGCATCCTTGACCGCCTATTATTATTCTATTTTCTGACCGCCTATCTGTAACCGGGTATATAATCGTGAGTCTTCACCCTCATAGAGTGAAGCTGACGAAATTTCGTGTCTTAACCTTTTCCTCACCTTATACCGCTCTCTTGCTTTTTTAATTTTATTTGACACCCTACCGAAAATTCTACTCTTTGCTTCATTATACTGCTGAATCCGGATATGTAGGGGTTAGAGTTCTCGAAGCCGAGGCTCAGGTTCCAACTCAAACTCCGACCTATTCGGATTCTTTAAAATTGTTATTGGTAGTTGCTGTTGTTGTTGTTCCCTACACTCTACTGGGCCTACACCTCGGTCGACCTCGCCTCCCCAGTTCGAGACGGGTTCCGGGATCTGTTCCCTGACATTTAGGGCATTTTGGGGCCACCACATTTTCCCTCCCACACCGGAAACAAAACATCCGTGTTATGGGCTGTGGACAGTCGACGAAACCGTGGCCGACGACCTTACAGTTCCAACATACGTACTGACTCGTAGACCGAATACCATCTACCTCCAAATCGATCAATGACTGTTCCGCATCCTCACAACCTAGTTCATGCAGTCTGTGCGTGACATTTGCGCGTTGATATAGCTGCCTCTGGTTAGCAATTAAATTTTCCGCTCGCCTCACCTCACGACAGAACTCCGATAAGGTTTTCAACCGAATAGAAAACATCATCTGCGCCAAAGATCGTTTCAAATTACCACGCATGATCTCTATCAGTTGCTCCTCCGCATATGGGTGCTGCTGCTGGTTTCGGAGCTTAATTACAGCATTATAGTAATCGTCGAAAGCTTCTTGCGGCAACTGTCGGCGATTGAGAATTTTCATTTGCACTTCGTGTTCTTGCTCAAAGCGGCGATATTGTGCTAAGAGGGCTTTCTCTAACTCCTCCCGGTGTTAATATGTACTATTTTCCTGTAGTCTGTAGTGTAATTTTTTTTGTTCCTTATCCATATCATCTGTAGTGTGATAATTGTTATAATTCTTAACGCTCTCCACTCAATCGATAAAGTTTGCATATTGAGAATATCGTTATTACCTTATATGGTAAAAATTTGATGCGTATTTAATTCTTTATATTCAATTTAAAATATTTTGTCCCGTTATTCTTCTTGTGCGTAAAATAGTAATATTGATTTATGAAAACAAGAATTTTGGAGATCAATTGAATAATAAAACTTGAACAGTTCGCATTAAAAGCCTACGCATCTTATGTAACAAGAATAAAGTGCATTTAATTGAGTTTATAATTACTTGTTAAAATTTTTTAAAGTAAATTTATGGTGTCATATGAAAAAGAAAGTTCACATTTCTTATTACATATAAATTATTACCGAGGTAAAAATCGCGTAATTAAAGTGTAGAAATTTAAATTATAACATTTCCTTTTTGTGTCATCAGGAAACTCGGTGTTTGCTGAATATAAGCAATGATAGTTATAGTTATCTAAACAGCCTAAACAATTAATCGATAGAAGAGGTCATAAAAAGGGATATTTTTATATATACAGAAACTGCATGGTATAGGCCGTTTAATTATTTGTTCCCTGATGATTGCTCTACTCTACAACTTTTAAAAATACAACAACAACAAACCACGATAAGTAAAGTATATGTATAAATGTAAGTTAAAATAAGAAAAATGAATTGAAACCTTAATGTAATTTACATAACATACTCTTAAATCTAATTAACAAAACTAAATTTATTCTTAAGTATTTTTATATAATGAATTATATGAAATAAAATGTTTGTAATGATTTAAAAATTCCACAATGAGTTGCTAGAGTTAATAATTTGGGCCGAAGTGGACATACTTGTGACACTGTGCACTAGAGAGATTATAGTATAATCTCTTAACAATACTACAATGTTTTCTTGAAATTTCTCTTCGTTCATATCTATTCACTGACCCATGACAACCACTGAGTGTTTGCCTGGCAAACTTATAAGAGAACATGTGAATAGATATGTGATTAGTTCTCTTAAATAACTAATGTGGCACTACGATTTGTCTGGTATATCACGCACTAGCAAAGTACACGCTACAATAGAATGGCGCCCAAACACAGGCAGGAATTCGGATTTGTAAAAATCTGAAAACCTTTCCTAATTTAAAATACTTAACATAATTTAGTAACTTTTAATTACAATATTATTCATGTGTTATAAATGTAATTAGAAAACTTTAAGAGGTAATCTTACATTTTAAACGGAATGAATTAGAATTTATCGGTTAAAGAGAA